GCAAAGTGCTTTTTTGCATTTTTAATGTTAAATATTTTTTTAAAAAAAATCATCAAGAAACAAAGTATATATTTAATATGAAATGGAAACATGTATGTCTAATGTCCATATGTTTTGTTTTTAAAAATGTTGATGGTGAATTGGACCACGCCAATTCGTAGCAACTGAACTAAGCTAAGATGGAGGAGGAGGAGAGAGATCTGAAAAGGTAAGAAGACAGATGAACAACTGGAACTGTCCCTGACAAATCAGGAAAGTTGGAGAGCTAGCATGGCATAGTGGTTTGAGCATTGGACTACAACTCTGGAGATCAGGGTTTGAATCCTGGCTAAGCCAAGAAACCCCACTGGATGATCTTGGACAAGTCACCTGCTTTCAGTCTCAAGGAAAGGCAATGGCAAACCTTCTCTGAACAAATCTTGTCAAGAAAACCCCATGATAGGTTCGCCTTAGGGTTGCCATAAGTCAGAAATGACTTGAAGGCACAAAAAAAACCCCCAAAAAACCCTACCATGGAGACTTTGGTTGTTCTAGATCACTGTGGGGAGGTACGTGAGATACCACCCACTACCACCACCTTACTGACCTCATACTCACACAATAAATCAAGCAACAATTTTATATACAAACCTATAACATCACTTTGTACTGACCTTGTGGTGGTTACCTGGTTAAGTCAATGAGAACACTGCAGGTTAAATATGCATTATGTTGCAAACAAGGCAGCTGGGTTGCAGATCCATGATATGGAAAGTGACACCAATTACTCCAGACATGCCCTCAGCCTCTTACTCACTCCAGCACGCTTGATATATTTACACACAGAAAATTGGCCTTCGAGTTGATTCTGTATTGAGTTTTTTTATATATCCATAATCAGGGAGATTTCAAAATTGGTAGAAAATCTGAAGCTCCCCCAAGAGACAGACAATAAGCCATGAAAATGTGTTTCCCTCACCGCCTTCCACTATTTAAACTCTTAGGAGCACAGCTTTGCCCATTGTGTGCGTACACACACATTAGTGGGTGTCTCTTTTTTATCCGACTTATCCCTGAGAATATCTTTTAAAGCTCATGTTTGGAAATCCATAAATATGAAGTAACTCAGGGGGTTTTGTGTCTAGTAGAACACTTTGCAGGAGTGTTATTATACAAGCTACAATATCATCAAGAAAAATAAACCAGAGAACATATTAACAATTGAAAACCAAGTGTGACTTCTAAAAACATAGAGACAAACATAACCATAAAAAGAAGGGGGATTTGAGATTATTTGGTATTTATAAACGAAACCAACAATTGTTTCCCTAAACCACCGATATTCCTTCCTACTTCCTCTCTACACACACATTTCACAACAAAAGAATATGCATAGTCCATAATTACTAGAAAGCATGTAGAGTATTTTTTAAATGTTGTGGCCTGTTGGCTAGGGGAAGCTGGGTTGGTGTCTAAGAAAATAAGTTTTTCATGACTTTCAACCTAAGAAAGAGATAAGAACAGATCCATTGACTATGAATTCCATTTATCTCAGTACCTTTCACTAGTTAAACAGAAAGATAACTTTTGTCCAGAATGTGTGGGCACACATATTAGCACATGTGTTTCTTCTTATCCCTCTTATCCCCAGGCATTTATTTTGATGGTAGCTTGTGGAAATTCATAAGTATGATGTGATTCTTTGGATTTGATGTTCTGATCAATGTTTTGCAAAGCAGTCATTCCACAAACCCCTCAACATCAAAGGTTAGGGAGAGAGGAAACCAAAGAATATTAAATGAAAAAACCTGTAAAAAAAGGCAAAACCATCACTGAGTATTTGATGCCAAAGAAAGACCTATGAAATTCATGGGGTCCCCATTGTTGTCTTGAACATAAGTCAACAAGTGACTTACACGAGGGGGGGGGGGATGAATTAAAATTTCTCAGAACCAAGAAATCATACATTTTTTTCCTCAGACCCTGGTACAAATACAACATGGAGATGGGAGTATCAAAAACCTGCATGTTTCTATGTTATCATTCTGATTAGTATCTCCACATTGTTACCACAGAGTCTTGCACTTTTATAAATACCCTTCCTTATTATAAATAACACTTTCCCATTTTCTCACACTTTTATAAATATCCTTCCTTAGATATTATAAACAATGCTCTCCCATTTCCAAGTCAACCATGAGGGACAGAAACCTGTCGGGTGTCTTCATTTCAAAACAATCTTGAAAACAGATTTGATGGATTCTAAATATCATCATCATCATCATCATCATCATCAAATACCACAGTGAGAATCATTCACACCATAGTATTTCCAGTTTTTATGGATGGTTGTGAAAGCAGAACAGTGAAGAAAGATGACAGGAAGATCAATTTTATGAAGTGTGGTGCTCTGTGGATCCCATGGTCTACCAAAAAAGACAAATAAATTAGTCTGAGAGCAAATCAGGCCTGAATAATCCCTGAAAGCCAAAATAAAGCTATCATACTTTGGCCATATCATGAGATGATATGACTCACTGGAAAGATGACAAGGCTCAGTAAGTTGAAACTAATAGGAAAAGAGGAAGACCACAACACAGGTGGATTGGTTTAATAAAGAATGCCAAAGGTCCTGACTCTGCAAGACCTGAGCTGATTACCAAGGCATAAGTCAAAGGCAATTTAAGAGCAAAATGTTGCTCCGCTAAACATACATGGCCACAAGAATACCTGAAGATAGATCCTTAGTATTAAGGTCATGAAAAATGCAGCAAATAAGACAAACATATATTTCACAATATGACAGTACTATAGATAATACTAAACTACCTAATTGGTATTTTTATCTTGAATCGAAACAAGGCCACGTATATGTCCTCTAACCATTGATACAAAAAATCCAGCCGCGAAGCAGTTAAGCTATTGGCAACAAGCGGTTCCTAATAAACACTCAGCTAATTCTGTAGGAAAAGCACTAATTAGAAAAGCAATAATAATCGGTGTAATTGCTCTAAATTACCCTCCAAACAGAGAAGTGTGTTTGGGTACTGAAACGCAGCTGCTCCTGCGCTTGTAACACATTCACTCCTAGCTGAAGCCAGCTTCACTTTTCATGACTGCCCTCTAGAGTTGTAGAGAAAGAAAAGACCTTCCAAACATATAGATGAGAAGAAGAAAAAACATTCCAGTACTAGGGAACCCTGTAGCAGATGTCCTAAGGCTCTATTGGTTTTACAAACAGTGGCAGGCAGCAGCCATGTTCACTGTCTAAAGAGCGCTAAGCATCCCAGCCATGTTTTAAAAGAGGGAAAGAATTGAGCAATTCCTGTTCAATCCAATTTAATGGTCTTTTTAAAAATGGAAGTATTGGCCAAGGTACTTTCACAGTCATGGATTTACCTGGCAATTGTGCAATGCCACCTAGTTACAGTGAATTATAGTATTGCACAACTAAATGCTCGTCACACATCAGTCTAGACCAGGGGTAGGCAACCTTTCCCCTTTAAGGGCCGAGGGACTTCAGCTCCCAGAATCCCAGGACCTATTGGCCAACATGGGACTATTGGCCAACATGGCTGAGGCTTCTGGGAGCTGAAGTCCCTCGGCCCTTAAAGGGGAAAGGTTGCCTACCCCTGGTCTAGACACACAACATGCATTAGCACGCAAAAGTTTGATCCATAGGGTAAGCTTATGGATGTCATTGAAAGAATGCCAGACCACCGTGGCATTTCCAACCAGACAAATGACAGGAGCCAGATGCCCTGCTGGAGGATAGGAAGGTTCATAGGATGGGCAAAGAGAGATTTGGCACCTCTTAATTCAGACACAGAAAAAAGTAGCAGAGGGGTCAAGTTTCCTCTCAGATTCCCAAGGGAGCTTTCTGTTAACATATGACTATTCATATTAGGTACACCACCACCTTTGCAAGATAAATCAGGTAAGAGGCATGCGAGAAAGAGAGAGAGAGAGAGAGAGGAGTGCTTTCTTAGTGGTTGCTTGTACATCACCAAAAAAGAGGCCAAAAATGGACACTGCCCTGCATAACATTGCATTTGTTGTTGTTAACTGCCCTCGAGTCGATCTTGACTCATGGCAGCCCTATGGATGAGACATCTCCAACTCTCTGTCCTCCACTAATCTGCTTAATTCTGCAACCCCTTAATACCCAAAGTGACCTCCTTCATAGAGTCCATCCATCTGGCATGGGGCCTTCCTCTCTTCCTACTTCCCTCCACTGTCCCCAGCATTATTGTTTTTTCCAAAGAGTCCTCCCTACTCATGATGTGTCCAAAGTACAACAGCCTCAGTTTGGTCACCTTGGCTTCCAGAGAGGTTTCCGGCTTGATCTGCATATGCCAATTGCATACACTAATTAATATACATATAGATGAAAAATAAGACTTTTATAATTTAAACAGAATTACAATATATCTCACCTCCATTCTGACATGGGGAGGTGTTCACATGAGATCAGAACGAAGTACCCCGCCATGTGATTGAGACTGGGCACCTTGTTCTGACATCAGAAGCAAGTGACTCACCACCGCCATGCCAAGGCTGCACAGCAGGACATGTGTGCAAACATCTGCCTTGCATCGGAACAGAGGGCCAAGGTAATGGGGACATCAGGGCAGCTCTAAGGTTGCCCCCGGAGTATCCTGGTCAATGCAGACAGCACCCTAGAGATGTGGCCATAAAGCCCCTGCCTGATGTATTTGCCAGTGCTGTCAGAAACAGAAGCATCTTTGTTGGTTGCATCAGCGAGCCAGCAAGTTTGTATGGGTGATGGTAATTTTTTAAGTAGTCAGGGCCACAACTATTTTAGTTTTTAAAGTTTAAAGCCATCACTTTAAATTGCACAGAAATGCACAAGCACCACACCAGGATCACATATGCTAAATGCCCAGTGTTCATCCATATCTCGGTTGCTGTATTTTATACTTGCTGGGATGTGCAAACCACCCTTCAGTGCAGTCCCATGTAGAGTATATTAGACTAGTGCTGTCAGAATCTCAACAGGAGCCAGCATGGTGTGGTGGCTTAAGCACTGGACTATGACTCTAGAGACCAGGGTTTGAATCCCTGTTTGGCCATGAAAACCCATTGGGTGGCCTTGGACAAGTCACACTCTCTCAGCTTCAGACGAAGGTGATGGCAAACCCACTCTGAGGAAATCCTGCCTAGAAAATTGCGCAATAGACCTTAGGGTAGCCAGAAGTCAGAAATGACTTGAAAGCACACAATAACAACAGTCAGAATCTCACAAACATATGTAGCGACAAGGTCTTCAGATAGGTTTGCAATTGATCTATTGTCAACCGGAGCTGGTAAAAAGCACTCTGGCAGCCATCCTTGATTTATAGCAAAAGAAGTAAGCTGAAGACAAAGGTGGAAAATATGAGAAGGAGATAGAAACTGGGACATTTGAAAAGCAGCTGAAAAATTAGGATGACAGAGAATTAATCCAGACTGTCCCTGCCAAATTGGGACTGTTGGGAGGTATAACCATTTTTTGCAGTTTTTGATGAGCAAGAAATGGTCATGTCTGGGAACAGTTTAGACCAGGGAGGTTGGATGTTTCATGGTGAACACCCCAAATCACCATTACTTAGCCTTATATAGCTCAACCTAAATAGTGGGGTGGCTTTTTTTTAAAGCTGAAAAATGTTTCAGGGAGTTGGGGAAAAATGGGCATCCTGGGGGGCTTCAGTGGAAGTGAGTGGGGTTCCATAGGCTGCACTGGACTCCCAAAGGGCTGCACATGCTCCATGGATTGCACAGTTCCCTCCCCTGCTTTGAAACAATCTGCATGTGCACTTTGTCTACAAGTGGAACTATACTTCTGAGAGTACAATTCTGTTTTGCAAGAAGGCATGCAGGGAACACGTATCTCATTTTATACAATCAAAAGCATGCTTTTTTGCCTCAACAGCAGCAGCAAAGTCTGAGATGGAGATCTGGGGAGTGGGATGGAGAGAACTTAGGGCCATCAAAACAGCTGGTGGGGCTACCTGTGGGTCACAAGCTCTATATTTATCATGCTCCAACAGATGCAAGTCTACTGTATTCTGAAGGGCCAGCTTCAATAGTTCTCCTGTATTACTGTTACATCAATGGGAGTTCAGTTGATTTCATGGCTATTTCCTCTATATATGCATTGTGCTGATCAAGAATATCCTCTCTTTATGTAATTATACATCTGCGGCTCCTTTCTAAGCAGACGTGTACAGTATTTATCTTGGCTTAACAAACCATTTAACACATACTGTCCTTCACAAAGTCCCAAGATTTCTTGTGAACAATTACTGCATTGCTACCATGGAGCAAAGACAACTAAAAACAGGAACTAGTTCATACCATTAACTGTTTGAATTGCCAGGGCTGCAGTTTTCTGGAGAACACAAGTTTTAGAGCTCCAAGAACCTGACCTGAAGCCTTGACTATGGACCTTATCACACGGGGTCCAAAGCAGAATGAATCCAAACGAA